TATATATATTATCTTGACATAAAAAAATACACGTTATTAATTCTTATGCAAAATATATATATGTATTATTATCTTGACATAAAAAAATACACGTTATTAATTCGTATGCAAAATTATTTCAATATAAAAAGTAAAAAGAAAATGTTTAAAATTATTTAACTTTCAATAGTATGTTATTTTTTAAGTTGTCTAATTTATGCTTTGTTATACTCAACTTCTTGTTTATTTTTTTCTCTCCTAAAATACATAGAAAATAATATTATATACTATATGGGGATTAGATTAAATGTGTCTCTATACTTAAACGGGAATGAGAGACGGTTGACTTCTGGGATTGACAGTTCACCGTAGTTTGTGCTTCGGTTGTCATTAAAGTCTGATTCTGTCTGTCCCATGCATCACACGAACGAACGATATACTAGTGTTGGGAAATGTATTGTTAAAGTTGCTCTTATAATTGGATTCATGGGAGGTATTGTTAAAATTGCTCTCATAATTGGGTCTACCGGCTCAATAATTCGAAAAAGTTATGTCATATGCAGAAATGCTGACGTGGCCACCAAACCCACTAAAACACTTTTTTTATTTTTATCCTAAACAACCTCCACCGTCCGATCCTCATAGCGGGCGGCGTAGTCAACAACATAGAACACGACGGGAATTATTAATCCACGCGGAGCACTCTTATTGGTCATTCTCCCATTTCAATTATTTAATTCCAAATTCGTTTTCCTCGTTCCCCGATTCAGTAAAAATCTCAACAGGAAAACCAGCGATCAGATCCTCCCTCGATATCTCAACTCTTGTCTCAACGTCTGTAAATTCAGTTCTTTATATACGCCGGCGTTGAGGCGTCGAGCCGCCAGTAGTTGCCCTTTTGTCTCCGGCGAGGGTTCTTTTTTTTGTGGATTGAGGTTGAAAGAGATGGTTAATTCTATGGTGGAAAGGGCGACGAGCGACATGCTAATCGGACCAGATTGGGCTATGAACATCGAGATCTGTGATGTGTGCAATCGCGATCCTGCGTAAGTTTTTCCCCTCATGTTATTTTTTCTTCTCAAAGTTTTATTTCGCAACAGTGGGTGGAAAGATATGAGCTTCTTGTAGTATAGGTTTGGATTGTCAGTTGCTTTTTCTTGTTGTTTCTTTTGGCTAGTAAGTAATACCATGGTGTGCATTTGTTGTTTTTTCTCTTATTCTTCATAATTCGGCAAGAAATAGGATTTTCTGGAATTAATCGATCAATTACTTAGCTGACAATTTTTTTTTTTTTTTTTTTTTTTTTTTTTTTTTTTTTTTTTTTTTGCTTGAGAATTTGCGAGGGAGATGATTTGTATGTGAATTGTTTCTCACCGTACTCAATTTGAATTACTGCTTCGAGTTTTATTTTGTGAAATCTATTAAACTTATTCTGTTGATTGTATCTCTGTCAATGTTACCTTTTACCATGACATGGAATTCTGGGCTAAATTATGTCGAATGAACAAAGCAGATTTTCTGACGATATCTACTATGTATTTTCTGAATCACTAGAATACTATTGAGTTGACTTGTTAATGTGGCTTGCTGTCTATATTTGAGAGCGCTGGAAAATTAATGCACCTTTTCAGTTCAAAATTTGTTTCTTTCTGCTCTATGAATACTGGCTCTGGTTCACGTGTTGTATACGTAAATACTCTACTATTACTATTAGTTGCTCTTTGTAAGTAGCCATGTCTTTTTTAGGTTATGCTCAGTTTTGATGTTTTGGTTGTATCAGACAAGCAAAAGATGTTATAAGAGGTATAAAGAAGCGTCTTGGTAGCAGAAATCCAAAAGTCCAGCTTCTTGCCTTAACAGTAAGCTTAATTTCATTTCTTCAACATTTCATCTGTATGTCATATTAGACACAAGATTGGGCTTTATTGGTCCACTTGATCTATGGAAGAAATGCATCGTGATGATTCTGGTCACTATTTCACTATGACAGTTGATATTGTGGCGTTGTGGGTGATAATAGTTGCATGTAGTGAGCTTCTTTTGTAGGCAAAACCTAAAACTTGAAGTCACTCTCCCAACTTATCAAATTGTAAGTGTACTCGTATTTTGTCTGACATGAAATGCAATTTTAGTATCAAATTTGAGTGCACCTGATTATTAATGTAAAACACGAAGGTGGAGCAATACTATCCATGATTATTTTGGTGGAGATTTATTAAGACAGCAGTAATAGAATGGAGACAGAATGAACGTTACAATTCTGGTCTGTACGTCCCTTTTAGGAAGGTGATGTATGGATTATTGTCGTTCAGATATTTCTTGATGACTCAATTAAATGGACAAACGACGCAACGCACCTTGGGTCGCTATGGAAACAGCCTCCTTGTATAATTACAAGGGTAAGGTCTGCGTACAATTGACCCCCCAGACCCCAACTTGTTGGGAATATACTGGGTATGTTGATGTTGATGTTGATGAAGATATTTCTTGATGACATGTTTTCCAAAATGAATGTTTAGAATGAATAAATGTGCTGGAATGAGCTATTTGCCTTTAGATGCTACTATTATCCCCTATCTTGTAGGACACATATCCTTGTACTCGAAGAATTTATGTAAATCACTTATTCAATTGGAATTGGAATGCATGCATATCTTGGATTTTTTTTTTTCTCCTTTGAGTGCTCTTTAATTATCTTTTTTCTAGTAGAGGTGTCATTTCCTTGTAATAAGGACATTTTGTAAGTCTCTCAGTCCATGAAAATACTTTTGTGCATGGTATATAGCTGTTGGAGACTATTGTGAAGAACTGTGGTGATATTGTCCATATGCATGTTGCCGAGAAAGATTTACCACATGAGATGGTGAAGATTGTGAGAAAAAAGGTACTTTAATTTCTAAATTAATGTCGAATGTGTGTGTGTGTGTGTGTGTTTTCATCTTTTTTTCTCTCTCTAGCTTTTGCAACTTTTAGTGGCTCAAAAATTTGTTGCTGCAGCCAGACTTTCATGTAAAAGAGAAGATATTGATTCTAATTGATACCTGGCAAGAAGCATTTGGAGGACCAAGGGCAAGATATCCCCAGTATTTTGTGGCATACCAGGATTTATTGGTATGCTGTTGTCGGATCTTCTCTTGTTAGTTTAATTTTCATTTTCATTCTTCATGCCCATATGGAATATATCTTATGACTATACTTTGCCATTTGTATCCTTCCATCAGCGTCTTGGTGCAGTTTTCCCTCAGAGATCTGAGAGGTCTGCACCTGTCTTCACACCACCGCAATCACATCCGTTGACATCTTATCCACCAAATCTCCGTAATACAGAATCTGGACCTGATGCTGCTGAATCTTCTTCAGAAGCTGAGTTTCCAACATTAAGGTACATTATTCTGGATTAAGCAAAGCTTTTTGCTCTTTGTCATATAGCTTAATAGCACATGGCGACCTGTATTTGACTAGAAATATGAAACAAGCCATTTTTATATTAGCTTATTATATCCTGACATGTGGTAGAAAGAGTCTCTGGCCTTCAGAATTGCTTCAAATTTTTTAGAAAGATGTGTGAAATAATACCAAGCTAATTAATTAGTGTTTTTGGTCTCGATGAAATTTGGGATGTGTCAAGTTATTAAGATAAGCTGGGCAGTTAAATCACACTGACACCATTCAGACAACCTGCATAAATAGTGCTTCAATGATGTGGTGAATGGAGATCTGAGTGCCTTCTCTTGATGACAAAGTTATAACCTGTGGCTGCTGTAACGGTGCACAATTGAGTGTATAGTGCTATTGTTATTATCAGGAGAAAGTTTGTGTTTACTAAAATGCGTGTTGGTTTCCATTTATTTAAATTGTTATAATCTCTTCATTCTATGTTGAATTTAATATCTATGGGCTCTTTACATGTGAATAAGGCATGAATTCTTCGTTCTTGTTTTGTATTATTGGAACCTTGTGAACCTTGCATTTTACATTTGCTATCCATGAAATTTGACGATACATGATATCTTGCCTTGATGTATAGCTATACTTATTGGAGGTTTTCTGTTATTGATTGTAGCTCTTTGTTTTTGGTCCTGCCTTTTATATCAGCTTGACAGAACTTCAAAATGCCCGTGGTATCATGGATGTTCTTGCTGAAATGCTGAATGCATTGGATCCTAGCAACAAAGAGGTATGATCGTATATAGCTACCAGTCATTTCTGCTTGAATGCCTGAATGGTATTGTGCATCGACAGCCGATCTTTCTTTTCTTTTCTTTTTTTTTTTTGGAAGTGAATATTAACATTGGCTTAGTGGAATAGTTCGTGTTTCAAGAGACTGCAATCACAGTTCTCTATATGGATGCCCAACTATATGATAGTGATAATTAAGTAACATTTAAGTTATTCTGCTAAATCTTCAATGTGCTAGATATTGGATATTAATTTTGTTTGTTATATGTTGCAGGGACTTAAGCAGGAGGTCATTGTTGATTTAGTGGAACAGTGCCGTAATTACAAGCAAAGAGTGGTACACCTCGTTAACTCGACATCGTAAGGCCTTCACTTTCCTTCTTACTTATCAGGTGTGATTGTTCTTGCGAGAGTTGCGACTTCTCCATATATGAGCTTCGTATAGGGCATAAAATATATTGTTGTTTTAAATATTTAATGACCTCAAAATGGAATTACCCAATCAATGATTTAGGATATTCCTCTGGTTGAAGTGGTTATTTATATACTCAGATAGAAGATACATGTTGTATTGTTAATTGTCATTGCTGTACCATCTGCTCGTGCTTTATTAGGGTATTAGCGGATTTTATCTAACTCTTTGTGTGAGTTAGAGGAATCTTATGTGATTAAGATTCTTACATGTGTTTGCAAACCCAGTTTCTAGTCTATAATTTTGAGGAGAAAAATTTAAAGTTGGAGTAGTCTTGTTCGAGATGCTTGGTGAGCACGGGATTCATTTTCTGGAAATGTGGCTCAACTTCATTTGATTGTGTGCTGATTTTACCAACTTGATTTTTATCACAGAATGGAATATGTGTTACTGATGTGAACATTGACTAGTTTCTATTCAACTAAGTGTTTATGCAACCCTAAATCATTGAATTTAAGAGGTAATTAATGATGGTGGAGATATACATATACTGTAGTTATTGTGTTGCAATGTGGTCTGGTTAAGTTTTATTCAGATACAATACATTTTAATTTTGTTTCATCTGTTTCCCAATTTAGGGATGAATCACTATTATGCCAAGGGCTAGCACTGAATGATGACTTACAACGTGTACTGGCTAAGCACGAGTCAATTTCGTCTGGAGCTATTTCTGTTCTGTTAGAGAAGCCAAAATCTGAAGCAGAGAAGTCAAATTCAGAACCTACTAAAGCTTTGGTCCCTCTTGATGGCCCTCTTATCGACACTGGCGATACCAAGCAAGGCGATGGGTAAGTCTTGATTCCACTTTTCATGCTTCATGCTTGATCAATAAATTAAACACTGGATTTACTTTTTTTTTTTCTTTTAATTTATTTTTATTTTTTGGTTTTATGTTGCTCCTGAATACCCACTCGTCCACATTTGTTTAATGGCTTGGTACCTCTAAACTGCAAAACGCTCAAGTTAGTTCAACGAGTTTTGTGCATATAGCCTTGTCTTTATTATCCTTAATGTGGTATTAGTATCATATTTTACTATTATGATAACAAAAGACAGTGCACCATCTATTTTCCTGAATGTGATATTTAGCAGGATAATATTTCTTTTTTTCAGTTTAGGGAATGATGATCGCACATTTTCTTTTATTGATCAATGCTTATTTTTTATCCTTTTTCCTTGCCGTAGACCGGCTATTCCTTTTTGCTCCAGGAGATATTTGGTATTTTTCCTTTATACATGTAGTCTTGAAAATAAAATAAAAATGAGTCAATATGCAATTGCAGGTTCACATCCAGTACGAGCTTAGGGACTCAACTATCCCTCAATGCTCCTTCATCAAATCACGTTCAGCCGACTGCTCCCGTGAAAGTCGACCCCAAAATTGACCTTTTGAGTGGAGATGACTTCAATTCACCAACAGCAAACTCCCTGGCTCTTGTCCCCGTGGGCCAGCCTGAGCCAACGAGCCCCGTTGCATCACAGCAGAATGCGCTGGCTCTTGTCGACATGTTCTCAGGAAGTAGTAGCAGCCAGCCTCTGAATTCCATCGGGCAAGTCCATCCTTCCTCTCCCCAATTTGAGCAGCAAACGAATTTTCTTTCTCCGCAGCCTTCATTCTACCCCAACGGGACTGTTTCCGGTCCCACAGTAACTCAACAGGATCAATCACTCTACCTACAAGGCTCTGGTCCTGCGTGGAGTGCCCAGATGGTCCAGCAACAGCAGCCTCCTTCGCCCATTAATGGTGCGCCACTCCTTGTTTCTATTTTTTATTACCATCTGTTTGTTTTAGTTTGCCTTTTGATTTGTTATATTCAGTTTGGTTGTGCTTGGGTTGAGGTGCGATTCAGTAGTGGGGTGACCCATCAAACCACCTAATGCGTTTTGGCTAAAAACCTCAAATTGTTTGATTCGGACACTTTCCAAGTTCATTCTATTTTAGTTTGTTTTGGTGGATTGTATATCCGTCGTAGAACATGGTCATGTGGTCCTGCCTTTTTATTATTTTATGTCTCCCCTGTGCATCTCATGAAGCCCTCAGAGCACATTTTCATGGGGTACACTACTCACAAGTACATGTTTTACATGCTCATACAAACATGTGCATTTCATTGAAGCCCTCAGTACATATTTCATGAGAAATGGGTACTCATAATCACATGTTCTTCACACACACACACACACACACACACACATTTCACAGATGTGCATTTCACTTATAAACACCTTACTTCTCTGCCAAGAAAAGTACACGTTTTCACATACTACACATTCAATGTGATTGTTTTCATCGTTATTCTTGGTTACATGACAATTATAAATAAAATTTGTATTGCACCTGAATCTTCACAAATCAACATCTTATCCAACAATCCATAAATTTTGGAAGAACTTGGATTTCAGTAAATCCAAATGTACAACCATAAGATATTCATGGAATGAAATAAATATACAAAGAAAAGAACGTACAAAAGTGAGAAGATACGAGAAGGTGGCATATGAAGATTGAAACAGATTTATGAATAAGATTCGTAACTCTTTTTCTCCTCTCTTTTTGGTTGAGATTTTTTTCGAGAGGATATTAACATCTGAACTGTTTTTGTTTTAATGATTATTCTGTGGTAGGTGCTCAAAACAACGCCTTTCCTCCTCCACCATGGGAAGTCCAAGTGGATAGCAGCCTCTCAGCCACTAGCCAGCCTCCACAAATGCAAGCCATAAACCCGACCAGTCCATCACCAAGCGGCACATATTTCCCGGTCAACGGCCACCTCCCCGCAAGTAATCAAATGTCGGGCATGCACCATATCGGCCTTGGCCCGAACCCTATGCCTGTGGTCATCTATCCTCAACCAATGTATGGAAATCAGATGGGTGGTTACGGATATGGTTATGGCTACGGCTATGGCCACGGCCCACAGCAAATCCATCAGGGCTTGTCGGGACTATCTCTTTACTCCACGTCATCAACTGTGCCATCTGGAAGGCCGTCCAAGCCCGAGGACAAGCTGTTTGGGGATCTCGTTGACCTGTCTAAATTTAAACAAGGAAAAACTACACCAGCTAGACCTGGGAGCATGTGACCTGGATGTGGCCTTGGATTTTGGTTGGGAGTTTTGTTATTGCCTTTGCTAACTTGGTTGACTTGTTACTTTTTATAGAAAATATATTATGGGGGTATATTTCCATGTCATATAAGTTTAAGCATTTTTTTTTTTTCGAACTTTATCTCCTTTCTTTTATTTTTGGTTTTTATTTTTTATTTCTTATGGGGTTTTTATACCTGACTCATCAAATCATGTATATATTTCTTGTAGAAAGAAAAAAAACCCGGTATAAAAGAAAGGAACATGTTCTTGTGTTTGTTTCAGTGGTTGTGAGTGAACAAGGCATCAGTAATTCTTTTGTATGCAGTGATGACGTTAAAATTTACAGGGCTAAATTTCATTCGTTGCCTTTGGGCTGCCATTTTATTTTCCTAACGATAAACTAAGATACCATTAATTAAAAACTCATAAAAAAGTACATATTCTCGGTCACAATTGAGATGGTAGTATCAAATTTATGTCTTCTGTTGAGCTTGTCAGCTAAATGTTTGTCTGAAAGGGGGCAGCTGGAGTGTTTACAATCCAACTCGATAGCATTCTCCACCATCCATCTAATTGCAGCTAAATGAGCTTCCTCAGTCTTGATAACAGGCTCCAAAGAACTTATCCAATCCTGCACCAAGTTGTGATCTACCCAGGCTGCACCTCTAAGCATTATGCCCTACCCCCTTGGAAAATCTCATTTCAGGCTTGGGACGAGTCTCCTTCTCGTGTCTAGCACCTGTAGATTGGGGTTCAATGATGTTCAAGTACTCGAGCCATTCATTTACAGCCCCATCTGACACCTCCTTTTTCTTCCACCATTCTTTATTAAATTTTCACGAGTACTCTTCCATAACCACCAAAGCATGTAGGTTCAAAGACTAATCCTATCATTTGATGTTTGAGGCATTCTTGAAAAAACACAACTCCATCCACCAATCTATGAATTTTCCAGCATCTGTTAGCTCTACGGAAATGGAAGAAAATATGATCAATGTCTTCCATGTCTTCTCCACATATATAACATACTACTTCAATCTTCAAAGCTTTTCGCACAAGCTGTTTGTTGGTGCACAGAAAAGTTGTGCCAGCACCTCCAAATGAAGTTCTGTAGTTTGTTCTTTATAGGCAGACTCGACTCCAGGTGAATTTCCACATCTTCTTCATCTGATCCTTGGAGTTGCTACTTTCAGCTGAATCTTGCAACATCGATCTCTTTGACCTAAGGATATCCTAAGCGGACTTCACATAATACTTCCCATTGTTAGTCCAGTGCCAGATACGCTCACTCTAAGTCCTTCTTGGCTTATGGATATTCTGATGATATATTGAACATCATCAGGGTGAAAAAAATTGAAAGATGAGCTATCTATACCACTATCTCTCCCCTCACTCAGAGCATCTTTAATAGTGGGTTTTGAATGAGGTTTAAAAATTCAAACCTTCAAATTTTCTATTATAGATGAAAGGTTTGAGGTTTACAAACATAAACCAGGTTTGTATATACAAACCTCCCTCAAACCTCCAAAATAATAGTTTTTAAATATATAAAAGGACTCATATAGAGGATGTTGGAGCACACAGTTGAAATAAATCAACTACATTTAAGCGCGTGGCGCTACAACAATATATGCATGCGTGCGTGATAGTTGAAACAGTACTGTCAACCCATGTGCACGTTGAATTCATCATTTTCTTTACCTTTTATTTCGATTTTTTTTGTTTGTTAATATTTTGATTTTCCTTTTATTGTTTTGCTTATTTAAAAGTATAAATCTGAACTGTGAAGAAAAGAAATTACTACTAGTTAATTTTTCAATTCATTTATTCTTTTCTATTTTTGAAAAAAAAAGGTAACAATTAATATATAATAATTTATATTAGTGAAAAATATTATTTTGTTTACTTTGTTATAAATTGACATAATTCATTTAAAAATAAAAATATTTTATTTAGCTGTAATATTTAATTTTATTTCATTTATGGTCTGATTTTATAAAAATGAAATAAATTTTAATGTATATAAATATAGATATTTACTTAAATTTTATAAAATGAAAAATAGTTTATAAATAAATAAAATGTTAAATTATTTTTGTAATATATCTAAAATGTATAATATTAATTAAAGTAAATGGGAAACATGTGGGACCCATTAAAAAGAGGTTTATGAGGTTTATTGTTATTGGAAGTTTGTAAATATAGTAGTAAGCATGAGGTTTAGAATAATGTGACATCTTGGGAAGTGTAAAAAGAGGTTTATGAGAAAGAGTTTAGGATGCTCTCATATAGTCTGCAACTCTTTTTAATCTCTTTGTCCCCCTCTAAAAACTGGATAAGTTTAAAGATATGATCTCTAGGGATCCATGGGGAATCCCACACTTGAATAGACCTACCATCTCCAACCTGATATCTACATCTCATCCTCATAGTTTCCCTAGAACCTAGTTAACTCTTTCAAAGGCATGAGTCACTACTTCTTGGAGCAATTTCTATAAAAACAAATAATAAAGAAACATGTGGACAAAAAAAANAAAAAAAAAAAAGAAAAAAAAGGAGTGGACATATATCAAAACAACGTATTCAAGGAATACGTTTTCTATACAATTTGTATAGAAAACGTATTCAAGGAATACGTTTTTTCAAAAAAAAAATTAAAAGAAACTGTATTCCTTGAATACGTTTTACAATTAAAAAAGGGGTAAAACGTATTCATTAAATACGGGATTTTTATTTTGGTCCACTTTCATTTAATTGTGTCTTTTTTTTCCACTACTTAATTTTTTTTTAAATTTTCTGGTAAAAAATTCCTACTTCTTGGCTTGACTTTTGTAAAATTTTCCGGTCAAAATTCGAATAATAACTATGTGAACTGATTACTTGTGGTTTTGTGTTGTTTCTTTAAAAATTTATATAAAATCATGGGGTTGCTAAAATTGAGTATTTTTTGGGAATTAGGGTCTTTTATAATGTTCATCATGTGTTAAAAGTTTCAAAAGAAAGATCGTCCTGTAGCATATGGAACCAGAAAACGTTCGTTTTTCTCTTGTTTCTGCGAAAATTGTTTGAATTGGTTAGGAGTTGATTTATAGGCCAATCTCTGGTTTTCTGGTCCTATTTTGAGTCTATTTGTTTTATGTGTTTAAAGGATTGTTCCGAGTCTAGTCGTCAAATCCAAGTGTTCCAAACTCCACAAAATTTCCATGAACTACTTAGTCGATAATGTTCGACAAAGCGTGAATTATCGTAAATAATTCTAAGTGTCAAGGTAGTATATTTATAAGGCTATCTTGGTATAAATGTAGGTGTCTGACGAGCCGAACTCTCAACCTATACTGCTGTTGATCATTATTCCTGCTAAAGTGTCCAGGTGGGGTAAATTATGAAATACCTATTCCGTGAATAATTTATATTGTATGTTGGCATGATCAATGTATGCATGTGAACCATGTAGCCTTCAATGTGAGTTGTATCGACCGTTGAACGGTTATCCCCGACTACGTGGTATGTGCCTTGTATAAGCAGTCTCCACATATCATTGTAAGGCCACATAGTTGGGCATTCGGTATGATGTCGTTGTAAGGCCACATCGAGGAGCATTCGACATATACTCCTACTTGTATGGGATTCGATGTAAGGCCACATAGTGGGGCATTCGATGTAAGGCCATTCAGTAGTCTATGATTAGGTGTGCATTTGATGTAAGGCCATTCGTGTTCATGTTACGACCATGCTTGTCTTACTATATTTGTTATTTATGTGCATAGTGGTGAGCAAGTGGATTTTTTTGCTCACCCCTATATCCTCTCCGCCAGATGCAGGTTAAACAGATTGTGGGCACGACGAGGCAAGGCGAGTGGTGGTTGGTCTTGATGACTTGACCGTTATTTGTGTTGCTTCTGCATTATTTGAACTCTGGTTGAATTTATGAACTTGAGATATTTTGAACTTTGGTTATTTATGTTGATCTTGAATCATTGTTGGGGAGATGCCCCGTATGACATTGCTATGTCATTTTAAACTATGGATTGATAACCCGGATTGGGTGTTTATGACCTTGGATGAAACCTTTTGGAAAAGGTGTTGAATTTTAGATTATTATATCATTGTCATGACTGTATGTCGTGATATATGTGATGAAACATATGTTGACCTTGGAATTAATTGAGTAACGCCACAGATAATTGAAATGAGATTTGAAAAAAATTAAAAATTGATTATTCTGGTGTTGACATCCGGATCGGTCAGGCCAGGACCGAGTGGGTCGGTCCCCCGAACCGAACGGGACCGAACTCGTGGGGGCCGACCTGAATCGATAAATTATGTGTAGGACGGGTCGAAGGAAACGCTTCCCGAGCTCGGCACCTGAACCCGTGGGGGCCGAGCCGGTCTCTCCCCGGTACCGAGCTGGAAAGAAGTTCGCCTGGGACGCGCAGACTTCCGAAGAGAAGGAGCCGACCTTAACAGGTCAGAGCCGCCCTGCTAAAGGATAGCGCCGATCCGATCGTCATTAAATATTCGCCACTTGGGAGATCATCATTCGTTGATGGGACAGCATGTCACAGTCGTTCAGTCAGCATTAAATGTTGCCCATGCCTGCATTTAATGCTTAGCAAGCAATGATTGGAAAAACCTCAAATCGCATTAATGAACTGTCAGGGAGACGCCGAACTGCTCTGCAAGTCTACTGTACGACAAGACCGGTGAACAGTTCCTCATTTAAGAGTACTATAAATAGCAGCCCACCTCATTTATTTTGGGGTTGTTGAAATCCA